AAAAAAAGCTTTTGACGTATATCGGTGCTTCATCATAGGATAGGAGATATGATGCCAGTGGGATCCACGACATTGCCGCGCGTAGGATCGATCTACCCATCTTCTCTGTTGGAACTGAAAATGTACAAAGCGGATGCTTAAAGCTTTCCCAGGTTTTCTCGCTACAGAGTCGTGAAAGATGCGGGTTTCAGAGTTGCACGCATCTTCTCTCGTACTAGTAGGTTTCACATTCCTTTATGCACCTGACCTTCTTGTTTCAAACTACTTTTCTTAACACAATACACACGTAGGCGCTCATATACGGCATATCATCTTGAATGAATTTTATAAAGTCTGGTGGGCCGGAATACCACAGTCCCTCTAACCATCCAATCACAGGTTGGTTCGCTCAAACTACGTATTTTAAAACGTATGCTTTCTCCGTCCGATCGCACTTACTCCCTCTGCTTTATCTAAGGTGTATTGTTTCAGGCACGGTGACCGAAGCAACAAATTATAGATAATTTAAGATAAAAATACCCTTGATAATTTTGTTGGTTAGTGGCAAGTAAATCAGTTAGGCTATGAAATGAAGAGATACTGACAATCAGGAGAGAGATATTTTATTTTCTTTTTCTAGAAAAAGAGATACATGCAATCAGAAGAGATATTATTTCCTTTATTTTGAAGGGCTAAAAGAGAGATTACGAGATATTAGAAAAAATGCACCTTACGTTGTTGGATTTTATCATAAACATATGCACCTTATATAAAGGAACGGAGGGAGTATTGATCTGCATCATTTTATAACCTGGGGTAATGGGGGAAACGCGGTGTTGCAACATCATCCCTGCTCCATGTTTGAGTGGATGTAAATGAATCTTCTTCTTTTTTACGAAAATGATGCCACTAGTGCAGAACCGGGCAATAGCACCGGTTCGTAAGGCCCTTTAGTGCCGGTTCGGTAACCGGCACTAAATTGTGGGCACTAAAGGTCCCCCCCCTTTAGTACCGGTTCAGCACGAACCGGTGCTAAAGGGTAACCACGTGGCACGAGCCAGCTCCGTGGGCGCGTAGAACATTAGTACCGGTTGGTAACACCAACCGGTACTAAATGTTTGGGTGTGTTTTGGTTTTATTTTTTATTTTTACTTTAATTTTGTGTTTTTAATTTAATTTAGTGATTGTTTTACATTATAATGAGTTGTTAAATCATTAGATGAATATACCGCAGATCAGTTTGACTGGATGCATGTGGATCCTAGCTAAGTCATCAAGTATATGTCATATCTATATTATATATACTTGATCACCTAATTAAGTGATCGAGGTAATATGGATATGGCATATACTTGATTACTTAGCTAGAATTCATCCAGTTGAAACTAATATGCAGTTTCTTTCATAAATGATATAATAACTCATCATCATCATCATATTAATATCAAAACTCTTGCATCATATATATCATCACCAACAACAGTTTTCATAGCTAGCTAAAAATCATCATATAATAGTCGTCTCATTACCACTACTTAATCATCATATAGTCATTACCGCTATCTAATCACCACCAACACTAGTTTAAACAAGAAATATTCACTTGTACCAGAAGCAAAGATATCATCGAGTTCAACATGGTAATGATATTATAAGCGTTCATAACACCACAAAAGCAAATCACTCTTTGAGATTAAATTCAGGATGAAGAACACGGACATGAGAGGACAAGTACTAAGAACATGAACTAGCTAATTAATCACTCTTGCTGCTCTCTCTCAGGTAAAATAGTATAGAACATGTATAGCTTTGCTGATTCATCATATTGGAGCATGCAGATGAACCTGTCTCCTAATCGTGGGTTGCGCTTCTGATTGCTGCCCCCTAGTACTTCTCTGTGATCGTTTACAATTTTGCTCCAATATTTTACTATTAAGCATTCCTCGCTATTAGAAATCCTGAATGCACTAAAGTGCATTGTAGGATATCTTGGCCGTAAGCTAACAATATTCATGGTACATTTAGTCTCGATCCAATCAGGCACAACATTCATCAGGAGTCCTTGTTGAAGAACATCGTATAGTAACATACTTAGCAATGAAGTTTAGCTTAAAAAATAATGTATGCAAAAGATGCACTAAGGAGAAATAGTAGAAATCTTACCATCTTTCCTAAATATATGTGATCGTAGTTCAGTATGAACACTATTGGTCGCACGTTTTGAGTACTAACATTTCTAAGTGCAGGAAAAAAAATTGTCTTGACAACATCAAGATCCTCAAGCCATGAAACATAATGACTTGTCTCCTCGCAGTTTAGTTCAGCACCGGGACAGTGGACGGTCCTGTCTACTAAGCGTCGGACATGTTTGCTTGATTGGAAGTAAGCTGTCAATATAAATTGAGATCTATTAATTATTCAACTGGTTCAAATACCAAGCCCCGGGACAGTGGAAGCATGCAGATGATACCATGCTAAATTTCAACATTTTCACAGTTCATTTTGTAGAGATTTTCAATTTCACGGTCATTTAGCTCTTTAAACAATTTGGTAAATGATTGAAAAATAACAAATGATGTCAGAACATGTTGGAAGTTGATGACGTCGCTTTGAATGTTGCATACGGAACACAAGAAGTTCGGAGTTCAAATAAGTTATTAAAAATAAAAAAGAGGTGCAATGCTGGTTAATTTGCTTCAAGCCTTTCGGAATAGTGTAGACTGCACTGCACATAGCTCAGTGCAATCTATGCTATTCCGAAAGGCTTGAAGCTAATCAACGTGCAGGTGAGCATTGCGCCTCTTCGTCATTGTCTCTCACTCATGACTTATAAACCGCTCATACTGCCTCTCTCTTGGCAAGGTGGGACTAAAAATCAGCTTACTAAGAAACTCTAGTACCGGTTCATGCCATGAACCGGTACTAAAGGTCGTCGTGGGGGCCCCAGCCTGACCACTGGCCTCATTAGTACTGGTTCATGGCATGAACCGGTACTAAAGGTTGCCCACGAACCGGTACTAATGATGCCCGCCCGCCTAGCCGTTGAAACCGGCACTAATGGTCACATTAGTGTCGGCTCAAATTCAACCCGGCACTAATGTGCTTCACATTTGACCCTTTTTCTACTAGTGTGCAAATCTACTACTCGGAATGAGTATTAAAGTTTACTGGAAGTACAAAGCACATCAAGCACCGGAGTTTGCCAGCAAGGAAATTAAAGTTGTATAATTAACAACAGCTCCCTCTGTTCACAAATATAAGATATTTTGGATATTTCAATATGAATTATATACGGGTTGAAATGAATGAACAAATACATTAAAACCTGTTTATATACATCCAATTCAAAAAAGTTAGAACATCTTATATTTGTGAACGGATGGAATACTAATTATAAATTATTTTCTCTCTTATGTGCACGAGACAAAATATCATTGTTATCCTGTTATTTATTTTGACACGGCTCTTTCTTTCCCCTCTTGCAAGGCGACTAGGGTGAAGCCTTTCTCCCCTCGATTTCCTTCAGCGAGCCTATGTATTGCATCCCTTCTGTCTACCGCCGGTGGTGAACCTAGTTTTTTGGTCTTGGGGGCATCATAGTACAAATTTTGTCAAAAAATTACACAACTAATATTAAATTTTGGTCTAAGCATTGTCATAATCTCAGTAAACAATCTAAAATTGCATTAAATCGTCATGTATTAGGTTTCTTGTGGTGAAACCGCCCATCAAAGTTCAAGTCCTAGACTTGGCACCGAGCGACTATGAGGTGTCTATGATGACTTCGTCAATCTCAAGATGTGATTCCGGCTCAAAGTATCTCAGAGGTGCTCATATGGATAGGGTGTGCGCGCGTGCATTCATATGATGAGTGTATGTGTGTGTATATAGGGCTTCTGCGATTGGACCGTGTTAAAAAGGAGACTGGGTTTTCGTTTCTGCCCAAACGTCTCAAAATATTTCAAACTACATTTTTCTAGGTAACTATGGCATTCTGAAAAAACTTTTTTTAGGGGATTTCTAAAAAATAATACCAATTGGGAGGGTCCTCCCTGGAAACTAAAAAGATACTGCAACTTCTTCCATATGAAAACTGAGAAAGACAGGCCTAACCAGGCGTGGCCCAAACGGAAACCAAAACGAGGCGGTTGATGGAACCACGGGGGAGGCCTGCTTGCGTTTACATCAGGCGCGGAGGCGGTTAATCAACCCGGCCTCCGAACCACACCTTCCCTCCCCCCACAAGCGGCCGTCTCTCTCGGCTTTCCGGCACGGCCCCGAACCGCAGTTCATCACGCCTCTCCCTCCTCCCCTCCGCCCGATCCGTCTTGGACTCCTGGGTGAACTCGGCACTGCCGGTGGGATCCCCCGGAATCCCAGTGCCGCCTCCGTCACCATCCATCCGCCCCGCCCCGCCCCGCCCCGCCCCACCCGGCCCCGATCAGCACGCGTCGCTCTCCCCGTCCTGCGCTCGCACCGTTTTCCAGCACCACGCTCCGCGCCGCTCGGCGTTATAT